TTGTATTGGTGTTACTGCTGTTTTGGGTCGAAATCAGTAGCTTGAAGGTACTCAAAAGGGGAAAATCCGCACTGATGCAAAATCTGAGATTTCCAGTCATTGAATGGCCATACGCGTAACATAGAGAGCATTACACATATAAGGGACGCTCCTAGAGGCATACGCGTGTGGTACGCGCCCTGCCCCCGTGGCCAGCACAACCCTTTGTCGGTATGCATAAGCTACACGTATGATGGAGTGGCCATACACGTATGGCAAGGCCAGTACGCGTATGGGGAGCTTTTGGATGGGGCATACACATATGGGAGGTTTGGAGGAGTTTTGAGAGGGAAATCCTCTATGGTCATACGCGTACGACCCAAGGTAATATGCGTATGAGGCCTGGGCATTTTGAGCCCTACGCATATGATACGCAGGCCTGGGGCGAGGGAAGATGACCATACGCGTATGGACAGAGCTGCAACAAAATTTTCCCATTTTCGCGGTTTCTGTCCCAATTTCATGTGTAATGCAATTTCTCTTGATCCGTAAGACTAAGATAGTATAATCAAACATATGAGGAATCAATGACGATATTAAATGGGATAAAATATGGGATTTTTATGTGATTGTCTGTGTGAGACGTATTTGATGCTTGTGCGCCAAGATTGTCGTGTGTGGATGATCTTGGGTTGTGGTGGTAATTCTAGAGGGAATTACGGTGAGCATGTGGCTCACGAGTGATCATTGAGGATCATGGGTTATGCATGAATGACTATTATATTGTGCATAACTTTGTGTCATGCATTCATGTCATGTTGTGTGGAGATGAGCTATGTGGGAATCCATGATGGGTGCCTAGTCTCGTCCGGACTCCATGTGGGAGTCGAGTGGAAATAAATTGTAGTTTAGAGGAACGTATGCGACTTATCCGGGTTCTGACGGGAATCGGGTTCTACGGTGAACCGTATGTGATTGTAATGGTACCGCATGCATTGTGTCGTGTCAGTTGAGTTGTATTGCATAAGTATATGATTGTATATGGGTTGATTATGTCGAATATTGATGTGGCACTTGTATGTGCATTGTGATTGTATGATTGGTGTGATTTGTGCGTTAACTACCCCTTAGCATGTGATTTTTTACCATGTATTATTAAATGTAGTTTTCACCCCTTTTCTATTTGTTGTGTTTGTGCTCCTTTGTGAGTACAGATGATCAAGTACCTGGGTAGTGCTTGACGCATGTATTGCTATTTGATCGAGTCTTAGGAGTTGCTCTGATATGTAACACGAGAAGGATGGAAATTTTCGTTGATTTCTCCATGTTATTTGTTATGTATCCTGATTTGTTTTGATTAATGTTGTTGAACCACGGTTTATGTGGAGATTTGATATAATGGGAGCTTTAATGCGAAACCATTGGTTTAATTCTGTTGTTTAATAAAAGTATTTGTTTTATTAATGAATAAGTGATGAAGTGATTTAATATTTCACGATGACATTTTATGGATTTGACATCCTACATGTGAAACTCTGATTTATTTTTGCAAATATTTTCGTATTTTTAATTTTTATACGAGTGGGTAGAGTAGGGTGTTATACCACCTGGATGCGGTAGTTGAGGTAGATGGTGGTGATGCACAAGTTGTATATCATAGAGGATGTGCATTGAGGTTATACCTCGTGTATTTGGTTGACACGACCATATTTATGGACAAAAGTGTATAATATGTCGATGTCGTCTATCTGAGATACTTCATTAACTTGGAGAGGATTCATGAATACGACTAGATGGCCTCTTGTTGGGTTTACATCTAGTCCAAGTTAGGTGAAACTTGTATATGAAATACTAGACATATGACAACAAACAACACCCTATTTACGGTAATATATTTGCACTTTTACTGTTATTAATATTTCATATCACTTGAGTTACACTGTCACTAATATTTCATATGAACCATTTTCAGGAATGAATTCTTTAGCATTTTCCATGTTTCTGCGGCAGAGCATATATGGATTACTAAAACGAGGTTTTGCCACATGCCTACTCCTTCATCCCGCTCAGAGGGAATCAGGCGACTAAACCATTCTGAGTTTACATTGACTGCATTGCGTTAGATGATATAAACTTCATAATATGCGATGATCACCAGGAGAAACACCCATTAGATAAGACATATGTCTACTTTGGATGGCTAACTTGTGGGTCACGGTTGATGTATCCATATCTACTTGAGTGAGTAATGCGTATTTTTGGATATCTGAAAGGTATTCCTAAAGCCCCCCCCCCCCCCCCCCCACCGTTGTTGCTCTTCCCATAGTCCTCCACATATATGTTGAGGAGATATTTGTGGAGTACCATGATTATCTGATCCTAAAGGATGTACACAGTGTGCTATCTCCTGACCAATGGAGTATCATATACAATTACATCAAATAGTTTTTTAAAATGTCACATCGTTACATGACAACAGATGCAGAGGTATAACCACTTAGGTCAGCTCATCAGAAGATATTATAAGAGGAGCATGCTAAGATGGACTATATTGTTAATGTGCTCTTGATTTATATAACGTATTTTGCCTATTGGGAGAGCAAACATAAAAAACTGAGAGTTTCAGAAAGGCACTCTTGGGAGAGCCATTGTATAGGCCATGATAGTCGATGCACAACATATATTGTAGTACCGAAAGGAGTTTATTTATTTGTTGTTTCCAAAAGAACGAGGCTCTAATACTCGATATTTTTCGAACCTTCGTTCCATAGCAGAAGTTCATTTACCACTCGAGCTCAAATACTTGATTTGTATTTTAATTTATATTTTGTGAACTAATTTACATTATAAATTAATATATATGATATTTTGATTAAGTTATGATTTAATTGAATAATAATTACACATACTCGATATTTATTTTAGCACTTGGTATTTTGTGAGCAATATGATTTGCATTTAAACATAATAAATGCATTATAGGAGTAATCTCTTTTTTAATTAACCCGGGCCATACCATTTCTTGCATTTATTTTAAATCCAATAATAATATTACAAACAAAAAAAATCTGCAAAAAGTACTAGTAAATGCCCTCAGCCTCATTCAGAAATGGCAATACGTAACCCGGCCCCACCCCCACCCATCGGGATTCGCAATACCCAAACCAGTCCACAACAGTGGGCCCCACTCTCCCTTCTTTTTGTCCACCGTTTCAACTGAAAGCGAAACGCTCTCCACACACTCCCACTTCACTCACTCAACATAACGTCCTGTTTGCCTCCCACTTTCTCTTTCTCTCTCTTCCCTTTCCCTATACCAACGTAAGCACATTTTTTTTTTCTCTCTTTTTCCTTTTTCTTTTCCACCATTAAAAAAACACGCGGCACATAAATACAAAAATTAAATCAAAAAATAAAAATTAATTAAAAATATATATACGTAAATGAAGGAAGAAGAAAGAATGAAAATGATTATGGAAGATTATTATTAGATTAGATTACTCCATCCAAATCCAAACAGTGTCTTCATTGCAATTCTTTACTTCGCTTTTAAACTACGTGCGTTTTTTCTTTTCTTTTCTCAATTACGTTTCGTATCTTTCTCTTCATCGTTCAAAATCGTTTTCGTTTTTTTCTTCTTCTCTTTTCAGGTAATCTCTTACACGTTCTCGATTCCTTAGAATTTCTCTGTATTTTACCATTATAATGCCGCATTTTCTTAATTTTGTTGTTAATTATATAATCGCTTTTGTTCTTAAATCTGAAATGTGAGTTTTGTTTGTTATTGTTAATCGATGAAGAGTTTCTGTTTTTGTTCTTGTTATAACTGCTTTTTTTCTAAGCCAAACAAGGCCTTACCGTGGATTTTCAGTTTTTTTATTAAATCGGTTTATATCGATTTGTGAGATTGTAGAGTATTAGAATTTAGGAATCTATCGTTTTCGTTATTAATTAACTGGTATATATCGTAGTCATTGTTTTGAGTATTTATTTTATGTGTACTAGTTTTTTAGTGTACTAGTTATTGAGTTATAGGGTTTTGTTTTGGATTTGATTATTGTTAGTGGAATTGATTTAATCAGATTTGGAAATGAGGTTTAGGTAATACTTTAAATATCGATCTATATAGGTGTTGCAACGTCTATTTCGGTCTATACAGGTGTTGCGACACTGAATGTGGTCGTCCTGGTGTGAATTAACTATTATAATTTGTTATTTTATGTGTACTAGTAGTTTAGTGTACTATTAATTGATTTATAAGGTTTTGCTTTGGATTTTATCATTTTTGGTGGAATTGATTTAATCAGATTTGGGAATGAGGTATAGATAATGTTTTAGGTATCGGTCGCATAAAGACTTTTGCAATTTTGGTTGGTATAGGTGTTGTGACGCTGAATGCGATTGTCACGGTGTGAGTTAACTGTAATTTTTTCATTTGTTCTTTAACATAAAAATGGTGATTAATGGTAACGGTATCAGTATTTGTTGATATTGTTTTGTTGCGGCCGTTTTTGTGATTGCTGACTGTTTTTTAAAACTTGGGTATACATCATCACTTCATTCATTGAATTAAAATGTTAGTTGAATTAGAAATAGTAAGGTTTTGTTGAGGTTTATGTGTGTTTCCTTTTTGTGCAATGCATTGAATTATTTTCTCTTTCACGTGGCTTTCTGCCATATTCTTTAGAGACAAATGTCAAAATCATGTTTCAATGTTTTCAGCATCAATGTTTCTGTTTTTGTTTGGTGCAATAGAAAAATGGTATAGCCTTTATTGTCACCAGCTTTTTCCTTCATTAATTGTTTGATTGGTTGTTGATTGTGTCCTAGGTTGAACCTAGATATTCACAAACCCTTATTTGTTTTTTGAGATTGTGTTGAATTTTGATATTGGAAAATGGAGAGTGTTCTCTGTTGAGTTGTAGCATTTTACTATACAATTTCTTTTGATGAAATTGTGAACATTTTATGACAGATAATTGCTTGTGAGCGAACCGTGAAGTTTGAGGGTTTGTTGTGCCATGCCAATCAATTTACAGCCGAGTAATGAATTTGTGATACCTTCTGAGGACATGGTATTTGGGTTTGAATTCAAAAAGCTCAGCTCAAAACGGCATAGCAATTCGAAGACAGATAAAGGAAGTTCTGCATTGCCGCAGTTAAATCGGAATCCGAATCCAAAGGGTGCAGATAAGTTGAGGTCAAAGAGTGGTGTTGGACCACAATGCAGTGATCTCAAACAAAAAGCAAAGCAGGATGCTGAAGGAAACATTCGGAACAGGGAAACTGCGAAGAGAAGTGGAAATGAACATGATGAGCTTGTAAAACACATGTCTAATTTGCCAGGTTATCTCCTGCATAATGATAGATTGGAAAATGTTCAAGAGAAAGCATTCAATGTCGGTGTTCTAGATTGGTCTCGACTCGAGAAATGGAAGCACAATCATATACCAGAAGAACTAACTAATCATTTCACATCTGTCGATAGAGGTGAATCGTCCTCAAGAATAGTCACTATATCGTCCCTCAGTGCTGGTAGAAGGGAAAAACTTGACAACACAAAAAGTTTGCGAGATGTCAGACCGACCAACAAGGAATCACTTCCTCAAATTAGTAAACATCCCTTTGAGAATATTGAACGATTTGAATTTTCTAGAAGTGGAACCAAGAGCATAGGAAATGAGCAGAGGAGGAATGGCAGTACTAAAAGAACTTTAGATGCTGGAAACTCTGCATTGAAATCAAGGCACCACAGGGTCTCATCTTCTATTCCTTATGAAAATGTAAATGGAAAGGATAAGGATGATGACTACTACCACAAGAAAAAAGAGAGAAATCGCAAGTCCAGCTGTGATATGATACAGCCTTCAGTAAAATCAAAAGGCAAAGGGGAATCATTCAGTTCTAAAAACACGAGTTCTGACAACAATGAATCCAGGATAAAGGCGAATCGGTTGCTGGAGTCAGGTTCCGACAATAGTTGTAAAAATGACCATAGCAAGCCAAGTAATATTGTGCTGCTCTATCCTCATGAAACTCCCGACTCAAGTTCTTCAGATGATTTCCGGCTTTCAGAATTCAGAACATCATCAGATGAAAATTGTCCAGAATCAAGCCGAAGTAGTTTATCATATGTTTCCGTTCCTGAGGAGGATAACATTGGGAATGTAGGTCCTGAAATCCGGCTTTCAAGTGGACACCGTTCAGTGATTGAGGATACATCTCTTTCTGGATCAATGCAACACAGCGTTAGTACTGATCCCGGGATGAATCGTTCATCTGCGGTTTCAGAGAAAATGCCTGGTATGCAATCTGAAGCTGTTTGCTTTGAAAAGGATGTGTTAGAAAATAGGCTGAGCATTCAGTCTGCTTTCAGTAATCTGATCGAATCATTGGACCAAGAAACTGCTGAGCTGACTTCTCAGAAGAGTATGAATCCATCATCCCACAACCGTCGATTTAGTTTCAGCTTAAGTCGAATTGGCAGAAGTTTCAGTTTCAAGGAAGGCCCTGCGGTTTCACAATTTGGTTCTAAGTATGTTTGTTCAAAGTCTGGTCCAGTGACTCCTGAATCTTCTATTCGCTGGGATAATTCAAGCAAAGAAAAGATGAATAGTCAAAACAGAACAAGATCAAGTCCTCTTAGGAGGTTATTAGACCCTATATTGAAGCATAAGGCAGCATCAGATACACACCATTCAGGTGAAAGCAGTCAGAAACAAAAGGGAAGAATGAATTCAGTCAGTTTCAGGAGTATTGGTCTTAAAAAATCACTTCAGGATGAAAAGAGCAAGGTATCATCAATCCAAGGTCTCTTGCAGCTTACAATAACAAATGGAATGCCCCTGTTTAAGTTTGTGCTCAATGACGAAAGAAAGATTTATGCTGCTACAAAGAATAATTTAGCATCGCAGGAGAAAAATGATTTAGGCTGCTGTTTTACATTCTACATGGTGAATGAAATTAAGAAAAAGAGTGGTGGATGGATGAGTCATGGAAATAAAGAAAAAAGTTGTGGCTATGCATACAATCTCGTAGCTCAGATGAAATCTTCTACCTCCAAAATCACTGAAGCAATCAATCAGAACTCCAAGAGACAGTGCATGGTTAAAGAATATGTCCTATTGGGTGTTGATGTCAATCAGACGGATCAAGGACCTCCAAAGTTCATACCAAGCATGGAGCTTGCTGCTGTTGTTATTGAGACATTGTGTGCAAAGTTGAGCAACGAACGGATTCATAGTGATTATAATTTGCATGAGAAGAAGTGCTTGGCAGATGGAATATGCTTGTGCAGGTCAGGAGAAAACGATATCTCAGTTAGCTCTACAGTTATACTTCCAGGTGGTGTACATGGTTCTCCAAACAAAGGTGAACCTTCATCGTTGATCCATCGATGGAAAACTGGGGGATCGTGTGATTGTGGAGGTTGGGACATGGGTTGCAAACTCCTTGTGCTCCACGAACAGAGCCCAAGTTCAAACATCCAGAGGAGTTATAAACCTTACCAGGATCGTTTCCAGCTTTTTGTTCAGGTAAATAGCTTTTACATTCTACTATACTTGATGGCGTGCTTGTATACATTTGTAGATATTGTGGTCTGTGGATACCCTCTTTTACACATGTTTATCACTGCTTTCAGGAAGGAGCTGAGCAAGAAACGCCAATTTTCACTTTGGTGCCATTGAAGAATGGATTCTACTCTATTGAATTCAGTTCAACAATCAGTCATTTACAGGCATTCTTCATTTCCGTTGTTTTATTAAGCAGCCGGAAACAACCGGGTTCCTTGGAAATCGGTAGCATGAGAGAAGAGATCCTCAAGGAATCAAGTTCCAATAATAACAGTAGCACACATCAGGGGAAAATACCTATGAAGTATACTCCAATTCCACCTCTTTCCCCTGTTGGCAGAGTTTAAACTCGTGTCATTAAATAGTGGCGCTATAGCACTATAGTATAGTGGGATTTGAACAAAATAGCTATTGTTCCACGATACGCTATTTAGTATAAAATGTAGTCAAATAGCGGGCTTTAGCACTGCTGCGTAGCGGAATTTAAACAAATCGTTTTTTTATGCGATCGACAATTGACAACACTGGTTTGAAGAGATTTTTTTTCTTAGTTATTAGCTGTTAAGATCTTCTAGTAGTTGAGGAATAGCTAGCTAGTTAATAGCATTGCAAAAACATTATATGTTCTTGCAATTGGATCTACACTTTTCTTTTACCACCTACCTTTGTACAGGGGCAGGAGAAATGCTATTGTCAGTTTCTCTTTCCCTTTTTCAGTAAAAAAGTAAGTGAAAAAATCTAAGCCTAAGAACTTTCGTTGCGCAACTTTCTTCTATTTCACTTTCTTTAATGCTTTCTGGTATAGTAGGAAACAGTTCGATCAGAATACCTTGGTGTTGCAGAAAACAATGTGCTGATTTTACTCTTGGTCATTGTATAAAACAAAATGTAAATAAATAAAAATAGCAGAGATATCCTCTCCATTACTTTAACAAAGAAAAATCAGAAATGTTTGCTAGCCAGCTCACTGGAGATTATTGGCATGGGGGTAAGTTAAATTGTATATTTTGCGTTGACTAAGTTTTAACATGATTACAATATTTGGCACTGAAAATGGTTGCTCGCAAAAATAACTGTTTGATCTCAAACATTTGGTTAAACACTAGTTTTTGTTTCTAATCACATATATAGTTATGTATTACAACATATATTTAAGAATTTAAGATCACAGCTCATATTTGGATATATATTTTAAAGTAGATATTGTGAAGACAAAATATGTGTTGTGGAATGGTGAATGAGATGACTATTTTTCTCATAAAAAAAGGAGTGAGACAAGGATATCCAATCTCTCCTTATTTATTTATCTTTTGTATGAATAAATTATCTCATGATAAGTGAAGCAATTGATATTTATTTTTATTTTTTTTTATGAATAAATTATCTCATATGATAAGTGATGTAATTGATATTTGGGTGAAGATTTTGAAATTCATGAATTGCTAAGGAGTATTTAAAGAGCTGCTTAGACTTAATGTAATGTATGATTTTTCATCTTTGTAAAACTAGAAGAAGGTTTAGAAACTTACGTTTTGAGAGTCTCTTGTGTGTGACTTTTTAAGTCACCTTCTCTATCTTTTGATACATTTGGTACGCAGATTATTTATTGTTTGTTATTCTCACTCTAAAGCTTATAAGTAAGGAGTTGAGTATTATTTTTGGTTGAAACTTTGAAGCAAAATCGATTATTATTTTTAGTTAAGAGTCTTGACCTAATATTGTAGTTGAAAGATGGTGCATGGTGCATCTTTCTTTTTGGTTTCTTGAATCATGGTCATTGGGATTATGACTGCTTGTTAGAAAGTGAGAGGGGGGGTCTCCTATCTAGATGGCGATTTCTAGGTAGAATTTGTACAAGGTAGGAATTAGGCGAGAAGTTGTAAACGGGAGAGTTTAGCTTTGAACTAATATTATCATAGTGATTTTCCTTCCTGCCTTGGATGCCTCAAAATGTAGGTGAGTTATACCGAACTCGGTTAACAATTAACCGTGTTATTTATTATTATGCAATTTACAGTTTTTTCATAATTAAAGATTGATAATATTGTTCTGTCAGATTTAAGATATCATAACATCTGTCTTGACATTGTACTCTGATGTTGGGACATCAGAATCTCCATCATGTGTAGCATGTGCCAGAAAATTCCAGTTAGGCTTTAAGGAAACAAAGGAGATGGACAAGTATTTATGTGTCCCTTTAATTGGGAGAAACCCCAAGCTGAAAGACTTCACTACAATATTGATAGAGTTAAGAATAAATTAGCAATATGGAAAACAATTGTCTTTTGTAGGGTAGCCAAGTCACTCATTGAAGCAATACCAACATATTGAGTATTTAACTTGACACTCTTCTAGTTAGACCTGGAACCCCATATCGCATATGAAAAGATGATGTCCTTTTCTAATTCATTTTTCAAAATTTAAAAATTTATAATGAGGAGGCAAAATTTTGAAATTCTTAGATAAATATCGGAAATTTGGATTCTTCAAAATTTCTAGTATTTTTGTATCGGAAATTTCAAAATTTCCGGTGTTTACATTGAAATGTATACCGAAAATTTCATAATTTTCGGTAGTTATAAAAACCTGATTTTGTACTAGAAATTCATAAATTTTTGGTATATTCCCTGGTTTTGTATCAGAAATTTTAAAGTATGTACAAAAATATTGTTTTGTATTCAGAAATTTTGAAACTTCCAGTAGTTCCTTATATTCTTTTTACTTCTTTTGCAGTGAAATATAGAGGGAGAGACGACACTATTGCAGATAGAGTTGTTGATTGAGCGGCAGACCAGGGTAGGGTTGCCAGGGGTGCTGATGTTGAGTCTTCCCAGATATGGGCTGGACGGGTGGCCCAAACCGGTTCACACCAAAAGTGGCTGGCTGAGCAGGGTAAGTTCCAAATACCTCGTTGCACTCAACGCCGACCTAAATGATCAGTAGAGCAGCCTAGAGATGAGGTGGTGTCAAATATTGTTGTTGCTGATCTGATGGTTGATCTAGTGATTTATACAATTGTTGATCTAGTTGTTGATCCGGTTATTGAGGAAGTTGTTGAGGAGGTTAGTTCGAAGGAGGTTGCTCGGGTGGTTCAGCTAGATGTTGTTGTTGCTGATTCGGTCACATCGGTTACTGCTGACATTGAGGTTACAACTCTTTCGACTAAGCCCACTATGCATACTGATGGAGGATTCCCTGGAGAACCCATCGACCGATCGGTGCTTACTGAGTATGTTGACCTTGTGGCATTACGCCTATGGCAGGGTAAGGTATATGTCTTTTATGTTTAACTTTAATTATTGTTTTTATAGGTTTGTCATAAGAACTATCAACTATCAACTAATGTGTTTATATGTTTTTGTCACAAGAGAGACCCACATCGAAAGTGGCATCACACAGGTCGAAGATGAAGGACTTCCCGAAGATTCTAATGCCTAAGAAAGTTAGTTAGATTAGACAGGATTTCCAACTACTTGATTTTGCCCATTGCTCCCGAAGATTCTGGTGTTTATATCGATGCTTGGTACGCATGCCTCTTCAGTAGCCTCGAGGACACCAATTGGGCTTGAGTGTGTGTTGCGTTGACCCTTCAGTATACATCCCTAGGAGTGGCGACAATATTTGAGACCAAATAGCTTGCTAGCTATTTGAGTCTATTACAGGTATACTTGAAATTTTTATTTGTTGTGGATTTCTTATTTAATTGTTACGAAAAGCATTTTTTATTTATTATTTGTTGTGTATCTGTTTTGATATCATTGTTGGATACACGGGCATTTGCCCGCCATCTGTGATAGGAGGGTGCAACATTGCGAGGTAGGGTCCCCACGGACGAAGAGATGGAAGGCCAGACAAACACATCCCGGTGGTGTCGCTAAGTATAGGAGAAAACTCATTGTGCTGACTGTAGATGGTGTCATTTGGACACCATACACTGGTCATAGAGTCCATCATGAGTTTGAAGAGTCGTCTTTATACTTAGGTTATATACGATGGGAGACTATGGTTGCTAGACACTTTCCTGAGAGGTGTCTACGACAGTTTGGTTGTGTTCAGAGTATCCCACGACCATTTCCAGATATATCATCTTCAGGTATTGATTGGTGGCTTTAAATTAACTTCATCAGTTTTGGTCGTGCCATTAAAGATCGAGCAATCACTGTTCAGCACCCCTCGCAGTGCGAGGATGGTTACTTAGAGTGGTACTTCACTGTATCACACCCTCGCATCACCCAACCTACAACTAATGTTGGGCCTTTTAATGCCAGGGTACCTATTGATAACGTGTCGCCGCCGCCGCCTCAAACAGATGATGCAGATGACCAACATCGCCTCTAGATGATTGCAGTTATTTTGGATAACCTTATGGGTGGTGAGGTTTATACTAGATTATCTCGGGCTGCACACATAGCCCGTGGAAGGCCTATTTAGACATCTTTTCTATATCATGGATTTGGTTTATATGTATTATTTGTATCATTTGTATATTATTCAGACATCTTCATCCTAACTCTTTATTTGCTAATATTTTTTATCTTCCTCCATAAATTGCAACGTCAACATTAATTAACATCTGACAATTGATTACATATCTTAAACATAAATTAAACTTAACTTAAGAAAAAACTTAACAATATTGTCGCATCGCTGCAAAGAATGGGCCGGTAAGGACAGAAGAGTCGCCATTGTTCGTTATTTATCCCAAAGACAGGGAAATGAAATGATCAGAGAAAACCTACAAAAAGGGAATAAGACAGGTCATCGCAACCAAATCTCGGGTTCGGGAGTCGGTTACGCAAGGGGAAGGTATTAGCACCCTTCACGTCCGTCGTACTCGACGGGATCCACGCTTGTTGTCTAGTCTAAAAGGGTGTAAAACTATCTAAGCTACAGGCTCGCGGGGGGAAAAGAAAAGGAAAGATAAGAAACTCGATAGAGCATAGCCGCTCTATGCCTATGTATTCCCTCGTGTAATGGGAAAGCCAGAGTCAACGTAGTTCGGGAAACTACGGGTGAAGGTGGGGGAAGGTTGCTCGCCAAGACATCGTCGTCTTATGCCTACGTATCCTCATCTGGTATGAGAAATCAGAGAAAACGTAGTTCGGGCTGACACGACCACAGGTTGATTCAAGTGTTTTAAAGCGCGTAGGGTTAAACCTTAGTTCTAGCAGTTAGGTATATGCAGCTCGACCGTTGGAGACTTAGGCGTTACCTCTTTGCGATAGAACCAAGAGTTAACGACACTCTCTTTGTGAAAATGATTTTCCATTAATGCCAAAGGATAAAAAGGTTTGATGTTTTTGTTTTGTGTTTTTTAAGATAAGAAGTGGATTGAGTTATGATTTTA